ATGCGGATATAATGCTAAATCGAGCCCCACAGATTATTTCGTGCGCTCATGGCTCACGCCACACTCGCCATCATTTATTCAGTTATACCGCACGCTGCAAATTGCAACGCCCTACTTATGAGCTCGCGTTTGGACGCCGACCATCGAGAAATATCAGCTTATGTAGCCTAGTCGCGGTGCACGGGCCCTGGCGATTTCTACAGTGACTTCTCCAGCTACCGCTCCCGGACGCGCGACTCGCACTAGCGGTTCGACTTCGAAAGTCTGGCTGCACGCCAAATGCGCAGCAGCGCTCGTGATCCCTTTCTTTTCGCCCCTGTGCGGCAACTCAGACTTCGCGAGGTCCCCCACCTTACGCCGAAGCGTTCTAAGGAGGTAAGATCTCGCATCAGTACAAGCTGGTTATGGGAGGTCGCCTTTGGCTTCCCAGTCAGCCCACAGCATGCAGCACTAGCCTTGCGAGTATGGTTGTGATCTGACTGTAAATACCGGTATCTCTCTTGATCAAGGCTCAAAGATAGGAGCCAGCTGGACGGCATCAAGGATATAGGCAGTAGTTCTTTAGTCACAGGCGTCCTTGCGGGCCAAACTCGGCGATGCTTGTTGAACGCCACCAGGCAGCCTTAAGTACATTCCGGCCGCCTTCTGTGTGCTTATACATCGATATCTTCCATCGACTTCTGCATTTTGATGCTAGCCGGCGAGCCTCCCTCCTGTGCCTCCCGACCAAGGACGAACGACCAAAGAGGCCCCGGTAGCGAGTATCACGCGGGCGGTGTGGGCCGGTCATTTGCATTTGCAATGCCTCGCGTCTTACATTTGATTTGTCCGTGTTGCCACCAGAGTAGTATGAACCATGGCTTGTAGCTCCCCGATATAAAAGGTCAGCCGATTGCTGTCCAATGCTGCATGTTTCATATTAATTTGGAGTCTATCTCGTCTATGTTGCTTATTTCTCCCATGGCACTGGCTGTAATTAGACAAATCAACTGTTCACTCCAAATAATACACCACCTCAGGCAGGCCTCACCCCTCCAAGTACTCGTAATTATCCATAGGACAGTTTTTCAAACGAACGACGCGTCCTATTAAAACGTCCATGTTCCCCATCTAAAAAACACGTTGCGCCAAATTACTTCTTAGGGGGCCACCCATTTGGACCGGCTAATAGCTCCATGGCGTTCTGCATAAAGGCGTCGTCAGTCGCCAGACTTTTAATTAAGGAAACCCGATGCACGCGCACCTGTGGATTGATATCAATCCCGGCCTTCCGAATCTCAGCGACAAAGTTCTTCGCAGCTTCTCTTAATTCCGCGTTACCCGCCAGCTTCAGCATCGTTAGCGTCGATGGCTTTTTGGTCATGTCCAGTCCTGATTACGATGGTCAAGTATCAGCTGGACGGGTTGGAGAGGGCGCCTGAGAAAGCAGTCCCGGTTTCCGACGCACCGTTTTTCATCATGAGGTCCATAAAGTCCCGGAGGGACTTCATAGCGGCTGGGTTGTCAGCGAGCTGCTTGAGCAGCGGCGAATCGCGAAGAGCGTGCATGAGGTTTTCGTCCTCGGACGCCCTGGACGGGGTAGAGGCCGAGAAAGGCTGGTGCCGCATGTTGACGATGCGGATGGGATGGTGGTGGTTGGCCACCATCTGGCTTGCCGCGCGGAAAGAAAGTAGTTTGAGCGGCCTCAGTACGCGATACATCGTGAGCAGTGATGGTGGTGGTGAGTGGTGATGATGAGAGTGCAAGTTCGCGGACGAGCAGAGGCAGCCGACGATGACGCGGGGAGCCGAGCGCGTGGCAGACACGCTTTGTTTGGCCATGTGGACGCGTAGCCCGTCACTAGCACTTATCGCCGTCCGAGCTTCAGCTCGTCACCGTCGATCGCGACGAGGATAGCATACACGTACGCACTCGGCGTCGTCAACGCCTTTCGCGCGCGATGGACGACGACTACTATTCGATCGACGCCATCCTGGCCGATAACCAAGTAACTAACCACGCATCGTGTTCTGAGCTCCACACCCCATTCATCATCTCGGATTGACCCTTGGCAGAAAATCCAGTGTACGTTCAAGCTCGACGTCCCCAATCTGGGGTACCTCGAAGGCGGCGAAGAGAAAGATGTTGGTGCTCCGCTCCGTCGCGTTTCACCCTTATCTGTGCCCTATGTATCGTCGTGGCTTATTGTCTCCCTCCCCCACAGATCAAGACCAACTCCAAGATCCAGCTGCCGCACTGGCTCGCTCCAACGCTCCTGTATCAGTCAGTGCGCACCACCAGCTTATCCTCGCTAGCGGGCAGTCGGCGATGACGCGTCTCACATTCATGTTCGACAGGGACTGGGTCGATTTTGCGATTCCGCCCCCCTTCAGCTTGCGCGTGAGAAAGGCGCTCAACGCCGAGCCTCGCCATGTGCGACTGTCGTCGCTCGTCGGCGGGGGAGGACAATGGTACAGCTTTGGACGAATGATTGTTGAATTGTGCGTCTATTCTCCCACTGCCTTTTGTTTCTGTAATGCCTCTGGACTCTACACCCTGGATCGTCTTAGACTGCAAGAGCCACAGAGCGAAGAGCTGGCCAAAGTTTTGCAGCAGGTGACACCCCTCGAATCTTCCCCCAATCAGACACCATGAACAATTTTTCTTCTCCGTGCTCTTCACCCAAGACCTTCCACGCGCGTCTCGTCGACCTCATGGATCAAGCTCAGAATTTCGGTGGTGCAGCCGGCAGCATGGGTGGTGCTGTAGGATCGGGCGACGTTGGCGACGACTTCCGAGAAGGACTCGAGGGTGTCGAACGTGAACGTAAGGCTTCTTCTCCTCGTCCGGTTAATTACAGGGATACATCTCAACGGAAGACCCAAGTCTTTACTCTGGCCCAAGATAGTGCGCGCGCTACGAAGCTGTGGTACGAGAGCAGTGATAAGAAGTAATAGATCGAGGTACGATGGTATATCAAATCTAGTCTGAAGTTACTTGGAGGAGCATGAGCCAATCATTTCGGTTGAAAATAGCAATAGTGTAGCTACCAACGTGTCATATTACCGATCCTTCTTTTCCTCAGTTTCAGCTGATGGCGAAGTCGAATCGTCTGATACCGGTGGTGACCTCCTCAGCTCAGCGACAAACCTAATACCAATGCCTAAGTAAACCGCCGTTAAATTCAGCAAGAAAGAAACGCTCGCACCACTTAACACTAGCCCATAGACCAAGCTCAATCACCATGAGCGCGATCATGTGGGGGCTCTTCGTGAGGAAGAACAGCGAGAGGAATACACAGAAAAGGAGCCCGAGGACGGCATCAAGCGCGAGGAGGAAGGTCGGGTGCAAGGAGGAGCCGGGCTTGAGGATATCGGCGAAGAAAGACACGATGTCGGGCTGGACAGTTTCGCTCTCGTTTACGGTCTGTGTTTCAGAAGTTTCAGACATGGTCGAGCGAGGAGTGCCGTCGCTGCGGACAGGTGTACGTGAATTCGAGGTGGGCGTTGAGTAAGTATTTGGAGGTCACGAACGCGTCGCGCCCCGGACCGGGGCGGCCCGCCACACATGCCCCTGGCCACCAGTTCTTCAAATTCTTGCACCCAAGAGTCAGTTCTTTTTTTACTTAAGACATGAGGTGTACGGTAATAGTAACCCATGGGTGTTATCTACAACCAATTCTCGCGCTGCAGTGTCCGAAACAAAAGAAAATTCCTCTTATTCGCATGCAGCGCGCTCGAATCTGGCTCTGGCTTCTCGCCACCCAGCGTGTCCTCGGGCGAGCAATATATGTCATCTCCGTCATCAACTCCAACGTTGTGCGCATGAATCAGCCATTCCGACTCTGCCGGTGTGAGCGTGCTGATTTGGAGGGCTTCTCTGAACGCAGGCGGCATGATGCGATAGAAGAATTCCTCGATCAGCCGTGGGCTTTGTTCAGACTGTGCGAGCGCTGGCAGATAATCGGCCTGCAGCACAAGTATCCACAGCAATGCACCATGTCAGTCCAAGGGGACAATCGGGGAAGTCGAAGGAAGCTTACTTCCAAGATGACGCCCCTGGGCATCCCACCCGTCGTAACTAAACTGCCCATCTTGCATACCCAGTCTTTTTCGATGGAGAACATACCCCCCTCGATGTACACGGGCAGCGTACTCGTTACCTGCGCCGGCGTGGTCCCCGCAGCGCCCACCGCAACCTCGGTGGGTTGCGCGCGCCCGGGCATCCAGCGCATCTGCGCGAGCAGCAGATCGAGCGGCTGATTGGCGTTCAGAGTTACTGTCGTATACCGTTGGTGCGGCGGCAGCCCCTCTTCTGCCCTCTCCACCCCGCCACCTCCCTCAGCATCCTTCCCTCCTTCAGTCAGAGCAGTCGGCATGGGCGCCTCCGTATCCTCGGCGACGACAAACGTGGCGTCGTTCATCGAGAGGGCGTACACAGCGCGCTTGGGATACGGCGGTGAGCGGTACGTCCGCGCGTGGACGTACCATCTACCCATCGGTCCTCCCTTTCAATTGCTGCAAGTAAGAAACGAGCGTGGTATTTGGCGTAAATGGATGTGGCACACATACCACGTACTGATTTGATCGAATATTCTCGACAATCTGGTTGATGGCTGCGGGCGTCGCCGATTTCCATAGCGCAAGCCTTCCGAGGAGGATGAGCAGGCATGACGACGCGTCTGCTCAAGGTATGCATACCCACTTATTCCCATCGCGTGCGGACCAGCGTTCTACCGTATTGGGAAGTGTATATGGGTTTGGCAAGTCGCGAGTTGGCGCGAAGGATACACACGTCTTGAGCTAGATATTCTTGGGCTAAAAAAATTGAGTGTTGATATTGGACCTTCAATGGTGCGTAGATCGAGTGAGAGATGAGGGCCTCATGAAGGAGCTGCAGTCCGCGGAAGCAATTTTTCAGAGCTCAGATAAATAGCCTGCAGGACGCACATGCCAAAGCTTGAAAAAGGAATAGAATTTTCGGGGGATGGTTGCGGGGAAGCGGATCAGAAAAAAAAAGATTGACCAACGCCGGGATCGAACCGACGACCTTGGCGTTATTAGCACCACGCTCTAAACCAACTGAGCTAGTCGGTCATGTACGAACTTAGCCCTACGGCATTGAGAATGATTTCATTCGTACACGCTCGTTCACGAATCACTGAGCCCTTATTTACCCGCAAGCTCATTTGTAACTGATCGTCAAAGTAAGGACATGGTGTTCAGCGAGTGCGGAGCGGATCTATGTTCATGCCGCCCGCAATGCCTCCTCGTCATAACGCCGGTCGTAGTCAATTTTATATCCTGTCGGGGGAGCTGTTTCGGTCGCGAATTCAGGGCCCAATGACTTGTCCACCTTGACAGGCGAGTGGGTTTCTTCCTTTGTTGTCGTAGTTATCTAGAGGGCGCACGCACGCAGAAGGTGAGACGTAGATTAGCAATGAAAGTAGGTGTCGACTTACTTCTACTCGGACTTCTGATTTTACGTGGGCCGACCATGGTGACATTTCGTACGATTGCCGTGCCCGCTCCACATTCAAAGTGAGACGACTGGGAATGGGGGGGGGGGGGGGGCGATGTAAGTTGCGTGAATGGCGAAAAGTACAATATGAGCAGTTACCTGTCTGCAATTTTAAGAGACAAATAGGTTATCCTGGGAGTTAAAGAGAATCATGAGGAGCATACTACGCACTAAAGGTCACGAGCAACGAGATCACATAGAGCTGCAAGGTGCCACCTAAGTTATTGGTCAAGGTCTCCGTGTGCATAAAATATGCGTGCTTACCTTGCCCATGATCTGTTCAAAGAACAAGACGATATTGTTGGAGCTTTTGAACAAGAGCAAGTAAGCGACACAGACGGTCAGACCGCAGGTGCAAGGCGGAATGGCGGTCTCCCAGAGCACGAAAATCAGCTGGCCGATAACGTCGTTGAGCCCATTGAACGCGCTTTGTGACTTCGATGCAAGTAGATACGTGAGCAGAATTGACGTGATGGCGACGTCAAGAACCGCCGCGGACACGAGCCATGTGATAAAAACTGGATCGACTGGGACAGGAAAAGGGGGAGGGGCGCCGTTTGCAGTCGGCGGCGCATTCGCCACCTCAGCCGCTAACAGGGCAAAGTTGGTCTAGTCAAACAAGCCCTTGTTCATCGTATAGGTCGCTGGATTGGGAGATCAACCACTCGAACCTGAAACAGTCTGCGGGTTAGGTCTAAGGCGCAAGCCCACGATGTGACGAGGATGGACGCTAGCGGAAGCTATGGCAGTAACTCTGTTCAATAACATGATGACGAAGATGAAAGAAAATCGCTTACAATGATCCGCCAGTTTTGCTTTGTTACCTTCCAGCATCTCCAAATATAATATCCTTGTACCGGTGCGGTCATTGTTGCTTGCTAGTAAACCAGGGGTTAATCCAAAAACGTGACCATGTTCAACGGACAAAGCTCACGACCAATGGCTGAATTTTTTGTGGCCAGGTAAACCCATTGGATGCGACCTAGATCAAGTAGCGCGCGCGTTTCGTTTAGCGCCAGAGCCTTCTTCAAAACGCTATCGCTTACCCAGTTCCCATAGCCCACGACAAATATTGTCCACACGTCATAGACAGCGCCTGAAATCCCAACATAAACATACACTCTGATATGAAATCGTCTTGAGCATACCACAAGTTTGAAAGCTGATCAGAGGAGAAAAGATTGGGTCCTGCAAATAATATCTCGCGCGGATGAAGTAAATACTAACAAGGCTAAAGCATTCAAGAAGGCGATAATTCCTTTGAGCAAAGGATGGTCTGCTTTTGCGCGTGAAAAATAGGACCGCGACTTTGAGAAATACAGACGCAAGGTCAGCGCAGTGCGTGCGCTCGGGTGGGGCTTGAGCTGGCTACCATTTGAATAATCAAGCCTTGCATGATTGCCTGGAAGAGGGGGCCCATAATCAACGGACTTTCAAGAGAAGTGTCAGCAATACCCAACGTCATAGAATAGTAGACATTTAATCACCCTAGATAGAGCGCGGGATGCGCCTGAACAAGAGCCGCAGAAGACATGTGCAGAAGCTGCCGATGCGAAGAGAGCAGGAATTAGAATGGGGTACTCCGAAGGTCAAGGGAAGGAAATAGAGGGGAAAATGAGCACATCGACATCGTCTTGAGAGAGATCCTCGATATATACTCCTGCCTGTTTGCACCCCGGGGAGGTTAATATTATGGTTTACGAGAGCTCGAGGCGGACGGTGCCCTAGGCCTATGCACATGGTGCGCTGAGATTGCGAAAAATATAAGTTCCCACTTGCGTAGCAATGACCCTAATCATCTGAGGCGTTCGCGTAGGAGAGCCCGGGGAGAAGTTACTATAAGCAGCAATTCTAGTGTGTTTGTCGACCAAGGTTGTATATTCGCCCGGGCGTGCGGCCACGAATAAACTCGACGGCCATTTGCGCAACACCCCGCAAATGATGATATAAGTAGCGCTGTACCCTGGTGCGCCGCCACCTATGATCGTACCCCTTCGCTGAAAGCTCTGGGATCTGCTCTGCTTGCGCCTTTGTGGCTGCAACACCAAAGCCCGGGATCACGTACAAAGTCGAGAGTAGGTATCGCTCGTATACTCCCTTTTGAATCACCACGTCGGTTGGGTTCGACAAAGCCCGGGCTTGAGATACTGATACCATGTACTTGGGGGTTGCCCACTAGTATGTTGCCATGGCTATCTGTCGCCGGCCGTGTCGTTAAGTATTGATCAAGAAACCGCGTGTAAATTTTACTCACGAAGGCGTCCGCCGGAGCCGCTCGAGTCGCGAGCCAGAGCGGTAAGCAGGGTGTTACGATTCGGAGACACAAGAGTGAGCCCCTCACGACACTAGGACTCTCTCGAGCTTTTGCGTACATGCAAACATAGCAAAGCGCCTCAAATTTTACCGCTACGAAGGGATAGACTGACAATGACCTATGTTGTTATTAATGTAGAACCATAAGTATTCTAGTAATTTGTCGCTCATTTGAACGGGCTATACTTCTTCATACCTTTTATTTCTGCCACTGAATGTTGCAATATTTTTGCAAGCTTCTACTGCTCTCCGGAGGGGGGGAGAGGGTAAGTGTGAAGGGGCTCCCTATTATTGGACAAACATAAGAGTGCTATATCTAATGCCCTCAGAAATTGAAGCTCCCACCTCCCATATGAGACACCAGGTAGTTTTATTGAGCGGAGCGAAGGCTACTCCCAGAAATCGGGCAGAGGTGAGTAATTCTTCTCCTGAGCGATCAAGGATCGGGGTTGCCTCGGTCGGGCTGCCCCCCGCGATATGTATGGGCTTCGGTAGATCCAGTACCAAACCAGGAGTTCCGGACTAATCTTCATGATGAGATGCAGGAGAGGCAATGGTGGCATGGGTGACACACCACTCACTTTAAGCTCTCGGAACTCTGGTTGATACCAAGTATATGCGGTGCACGGACCACCAGTGCTCGGAGCGATTCTCGATGGTGGCCTCCAGTTTTCCCATATATCGTGGTACCGCCGGTGAGGCTGCAAGAATTGATAATCGCCTCCACTATACTCTCGTGCAGCGTTAATATAATAGGTTGCAGTGTGGTGCGAATGGATCATCAAGTGATCATCGACTTTCGAAAAGGCACAAAATGATCAACAAGCGTGAGGTGCAGAGTAAGGAGAGGAAGCCCAGGGCTTACAACATCGAATTTAATCTCGACCGGCGATTTCCCACACAGGACGAGGAAGGAATGCTGGAAAAGCCATTGATAAGACACCAAATGCTTCGCGACCCTGTGTTCAAGCGTAAGAATTAGATGATCAAACGAATAATACCCCCCCCCCCCCCCCCCCTCATGCGCACACATATTGATAAGCCAGTGCTCACCTTGCGGAGAACGCATGTATGATGCTATGCCGCTGCTGCCACTCACGATGGGTACTACCGCGTAGCTGTGTCTTGGGACCTACGAAGAAAGCTATCGCTGAAGGTGTAGCATCCATCCTATGAAATGGTTTGTGTGATGAAAATGCAGCTGGTGGAATACTACTTTGAGCATGTTGGCTCCATGTCTTTCGAGGTGTGAAATGTATGACTGGTAACTTGCCAAGCTGGTCAAAGGCAGATTATTTGATCGGTGCATTATTCCCACATTCCGACCGTCAAGAATGGCGAAATAAGATGGATTACTGTAGACCACACGATGCACGATTGTTTTTCGACGATTACCTATAACACAAAGACAGATCACAGAAAGATAACCAAAGTACAGACATTCCAAATTGCCAGATAAATGCGAAAGAGATACGAATATTGTAATCAAACACGCACTCGAACCACCACCACCATCGCTTGGATTCTACGCATCATCTGTAGAAACCTTGCGCAACGTTCTGCCCGCTCCATGCCACCTGTGGATTCGGCGTGTGCACGGGCTGGCCGGGAGCTGGGTAGTACTGCGGATGCTGATATTGCTGATACTGCTGTGCAGGTTGTTGGGTATAATACTGCTGTTGTGGCACCGGCGACGGCGATACAGGGCTCGACCCGTAAGGGTTATATAAACTTCCTGCACTATACGGCTGCCCCTGTTGCTGGCCTGGTGCTTGCGGTTGTCCATATTGTGGGTTGACTGGCTGCCCGCCATATCCGTACGTCGAAGGCGAGAACGCGGGTGCAGTTCCAGGTGGGGGCGGGGGCGGCACGGCGGGATTGTGCTGGGAAGAATAGTAAGAGTTGCTCGTTGTTTGTCGCGTTGGCTGGCGCGGGGGAAGCGGCCTCGGCGCGAGGTGCGATGATACAGCCGAACTAGATTAAATGAATGGAGAAGTCAGATTGATGTGCCCTTGCATGACGGCACATGAATAAAGCTACTGCGCACCTGTAAAAAGCCGTAGCACCCTCGGCCGGGAGTTTGGGCTGCATGTTCACGTCACCAAGGGCTGACTTTTGAGCGTATGCAATGGACGCGTCAAACTGTACAGGAGGCAGCCCGAATGACCGTGGGTTTGGACCGGAAGCACTGTGTGAAGTGTGCGGTCGTCGATTGGCGCTTGGGGGTCGCGGCGCTGTTGGCACGGAATCACGACGGTTTTGT